CTTGTCACGTACAACCGAGAAATCGTATAACAACGCCAGCTGACTCAACGATAGACCTTATGATACAGCGCGCACGTGCTAACCATTCGCCCCCCCCCTCCCACACACACCTCTTGAAGTGTCATTTTGATGTTCTCGTCAACGGTAACATATTGCACACAAAATCTAGACCGATATATCTATATATATTAGGAATATCTAGTATTAATTATTAACTGTGACTAACAGTCATTAATAATTACTGAAAGCAACCATATGAGGTGGATAGATAAATGGTTGATGGTCTATTTGCAACAATATTGTATGTTTGTTTGGCTTTCTGTTTTCAATGGACACTATAGTGTGTCTAGGTTGCAACAGAAAACGTACAGAGAGAGGTTGTGGGTTGAACAAATGGATTTACAAGGAAGTGCTAAATTTTACACATTTCTTACCGACCTTTCGTTTCGTTAGAAACATGAAAATAAATTTGCTCTGTTTGTTCTTTTTTTTTTAAAAAAGAGACTTTCCCCGAAAGCAAGATGTCTTCTTTAGTTCATCGAAGTGCATCAGTAATATGATACTTTCTGAAAGTCAATCCTTTTCTGAACAAGTTAATCATCGGATGGTTTAGTCTAATAATGTAAAATTCATGCTCTATCAATGAATAAAAAAAATAAGTCCAACAAAAAACCGGGAATGTTTTTGTGAAACGCAAATTTCCATGAGTTATTCTATTGGGAACATTGATATTCTTTTGTATTTTGTATTGTAATACAACATGGAGAATATTATCATATTGCTACTTTAATGTTTTTATTTCCACGAGGAATAAACCTGGAGTTCGAGTCTTAAAGCAAGTTTACTCCAATCTACATTCTTGTTTTCCAGATTTAAGGGACGAAAGACCTGCCTATAAGATTCCGTTTGAGTAAAGGCCACACATTATGAACGCCGAATCACTCGTTTCCTCCCACTCGTCTGCTTATTCATGAGTTCGTTTACGTGCACGCAAGTACGGATGGATCTCGGTTTTTCGTACCATCCGTATAAATAGGCACAATCCTTCTGTCATCTGCGCAAGAATTAAAAATGAGAACCGGGCTTGAAAAACCCAGAAGGTTTATCTGAGCCTACGCCGGGTTTCGAGTCCGGGATATTTTGGCCGAGAAGCTAGATACCTATACTAGTCGACTATCGCGCTGAAGATGAATACAAACATGAACGAGATCTACGCAGATAATTCTACATCTACTTTTTTGAGACCGTTACGAACTTCTTTTTTTTTATGTAAATGATAATGTATTTCCAATGTTGCTTGACACTAAAAGAACCCATTCTATCTATCGATTTGTTCTAAGTAATAACTAGTAAAAACCCGATAAGAAATAAAACTCTGATTCATTCTCTTAAAGACGAAATGAAATAAAACTTAGTTTATAATTTCTTGCTCAAAATACAAAAGTACAGCATAAATTATTAGCCATGCGAACTTTCCAAACTTTTGAGAAGTGGTATTAAGTATTCGGCGGCAAACTTATAGTGGCAATAATTGTTATTTGAAAATGTCAGATTACATTTATGTATATGTTTGAATTATTTCAAAATATAGATAAAATTTACTAAGCGACAGACACGTTTACAAAATCAAACTCAAAGAAATGAACAGAGGGATGTTTCATAGAATCAAAGAATCACAGAACTCGGTGAAAGGTTGAAATTAACAATGTTTTAACTTTTAACAGAATTCTACAAACTATATTTTTTAAACTCAGTTGGTCACAGATGAACAGAGGGATGTTTTATAGAATCAAAGAACCAAAGAACTCGGTGAAAGGTTGGAATTAACAATGTTTTAACGGAATTCTACAAACTATATTTTTTAAAACTCAATTGGTCATAGATATCTCTCAACAGCGAAAAACAAAGAAAAATACTAACATTTTAACAATTCCTGCTCGAGGGATGACTTAACATGATATTGCTATTAGCTCATCAATGACATCGAAAAGATTGTTAGAGATGAAATCAAAAATGACATATAGAACTAACGTTTTTTTTCTCTTTATATTTCAAAACACAATCATACAAAAACAATTCATCGAATTCGCTTGTGAATCCCACTGCCACTTGAAAGCTGAAGTTTACAAACACCCCCACCTTTGATTGTAACCGTTACATAAACTATCAACAAAATACTGCATGCTTAAAAGGGGTGATAAAGGTCACTTCCATTTCTAAAATTACATTTGTAAGACAAGATACCAACAAAGAAAGGTTACAGTAACAAAAAACATCACCGAGCGCCATTTATTATCCAATAACCCTTTACACAAACACAACGCAAAGTTCACCCCCTCGCCATTATTGCACTCCTCTGATACTTTCTGATCACGTTTGGGGATTTACTATGTTGTTTGTACATTGAAACCCGTCTCTTTCATACCGTTTGGCTTTACTGAAGCACCAGCAACCTCGTAACATTTAATTAGCGCAAGCATAGTAAATATTTGTTTAGCATGTGATCGTTATAATACGCCACCACATGTTCATTTTCATTCACTTTCGATATAGCCTGCAGGTCTTTACCGATATAAAACAGAAATGAAATCAATTGTGTTGATATTTAATCGCTAGAGTCTTCTCATTAGAACACTGCACTGGTGACTAGAATTGCCTGAGTTCGAATCCAGCTGTTGACCATTAGGGACCGTCAATGTTTCCTATTAGACTCACATCTTCATATCATATACATCTGATAATATTCACCGCATTAGCGTACTTTGTTGAACCACGAAGTTTGCTTTTCGCGCCAATTACATAGATGATTAAGACATAATGTAATTGTACTATTGTTAATAACTTGTTTTAACAAAGTTATAAATGTTTTTTATTTTTAATTCTATGTTTTAAATGTGGTATTTAGCATTCGAGCATACGATAATATCAGCAAATGCAGTCCAGGTCGTAACAGATTGACATTAGGTAGATAGCAGAAACACTGAAGTTGGAAATCGCACCGACCTTCTTCCCTTGACATTCGAAACTCAAAGATAAGCTGCCGAAATCGTCAATATTAAGAGAATTGCGAAAGAGAGAAAGAGAGAAATGGGTTTAACGTCCACTGACACAAACTAGGTTATTTCGGGACTAACATATGGTTGAATTTTATTTCAATAAATCGCTTGTAGGGGTCTTTAGCTGTGGGAGGGAGCCGAAAGACGCACAGAAAACCCACGAGGTTAGACTGGCGACCCTACTATTTGTCACGTTCAAGCGGGGAATCAAAACCACGCCACATAACTCAATGACAGATCTTGTGGTCTAACGCACACGCGTTAACAACCTGCTGGCTACCCAACAGCCCCTCCACCCCACCACCACCTTCTTGTGAACGAGATGTTCAATTTCAATCTGACTTTTAATTTAACCAAGGCCAACCCCATTGATCTAATCAACATAATGCATTAATATCCTTAGGGGATTATGTTATTTATTTAAAAATCACACCGTTGACTTTTCACATAGCACTGACAATCTCTTTAGTCCAGCTAGATTTAAACAATGATCTCATTCAGCAGTGTGACACTCGAACCAAGTAGATCCGATTTAACGGTGTACGGTTCAATTGAAATTCATTCAAGGGAAACGAGTCATCTTATAAATAAATCATAGCATTAATCGTCTTCCGGCGCTTTATATGAATTGTTACTTTTACATACTGAACCACGTTTGTTATAAAAGTCACAATGAAAGCTTACCGTTTCGGGCTGTCTAAGAATAGTATACATATTATAGTACATGTATATACATTGTCTCTGAATGTTATGAAAAGCAGAAACCGTGACCCTCCCACGAATTAGTTAACTGATTCTACAGATTAGAATTGATTATTTCTGAATTTTATTCAAAGCCAAAAACTTGAATGATTTTTGCTGCTGTTGACAACTGGGTTGTGTCTGAAATCTATTTTGCTGAATTAAAAGTTATTCCAACGTAATATTCGAGTTGTGACGTGTGTATACTATAATGATACGGTCCTTTATTTCTATCACATTAATGTCAGATGTTCATGGCGTTTTATGGTTTTCTAAAGCATAAACCATATAGAAACACATACGAAGCATACGTCATTATGTAAACATGTGCATACATTACATACATGTGCTATTTAACTCGTTTAATTCGTCAGTTATGTTTTGTTTATTAACCAGGACGACTAAATCAACTCACGTTATCTGGACTAAATCATCTGTTAATCAGATCTCCCGTAACACCCCCACCGAACGCCACACCCCCAACCTCTCCTCAAGAAATCTACATCTTAGTAACTGTTAAAATAATTTTGATGAATAAGAGCAAATGTATACCAAAAGCCGTTAGTCATAAAATAAACAAAGTTCCCACGCACATGTCCCATATACTGGTATATAATATAATCTTATATATGACAAATTTAGAGCACCTTCCTTGCATGTAAAGCATCAACACTTTCCTAGCATATTTTTAAAGAGGCTTGTCCTTTCTCGACAGCAGTTACGTCAGTTTAAAAAGAAATTGAATTTATTTAACTGAATTCCATCGTTTTAGTTTTATTTTGACACCTACTTATCCCACCGATATGCAAATTACATTTATGTATTGCATGCGTTTCCGCAATGTAAGAAAATGATATACCAGTGGACTAGGTATAAATGTGTTGGAAGAAAATGTAGATATATCGATAAGATTACAATTTAACTTTTTAGAAATAATATTCCAATTTTCCATGACAATCAACATTTAATATTACATGTACAACGACCATTGGATCAGAATAGCACAATAACGTTTCCATTTAACATATATTATATATAGGACCCTTCCCTTACAATACAGCCTATACTAACTTTAGCACACATACATACGTAAACATGCTATAACAGAAACGTGATTCGGCTCAAAACACGACAACACACCTGTTTGCTTTTAACACTGACAATTTATAACACTGTTATTCTATGACATAAAACTTGACTTACCCTATGTCCTCGTAATGATAACAGCCAGGCTGGTTCGTATAAATCCAATATCGTGTGCTAAACCGGCTAAGTAATCCTAAATTTACATCCAATATACACTACATTTTCATATTTCCTTCCAGTTTGGTGACCAATCTGACTACAGTTGCATAGCGTGGTAACTGGAGCGTGTTACATGACCCCGCGGGAGGTCATCTCTACGTTGTAAAGAATGTGACTATTTCGGGGCGTTGGTAACTTTCGTGAAAATAAGCGTACATGCAGTATACACAACGATTATCTTAATCGAGTTGCCTCCCTTCAATCTACCTGTACACGATAATAACCTTAGAAAATGAAATTTACGAGCAATGAGATCAGCAATTTGTATCGAATTCATGCCATCATCAGTATGCATCTTTGTATGGGGGCGTTTGAAATATATTTGACTTTTATCCGCTAACATCTATGCCAACTTCTTTTTCAAATCTACATTTATTTTTAAATGCCTCCAGTTGCTTTCTAAACACCACTCAGTCCTGTTTTGTGTTGAATAGACAAACCCACGTTACATGCATCAGGGGCGGATCCAGGATTTTCAGAAAGGGGGAGTGGGCTTTCTGCCCCGGGCCGACTTGGGAGTGCGAAGCCCGGCCCTCGGTGGGCGGACTGACGGGCAATCAACCAAGTCACCAACCGGCTCGTTTCGGAGTAAATTACGATGGGGATTACTACCATTTTTAAGTTATTTTGTCCTCTTTCCGGCGAAAATATATGGGGCAGGGGATAAGCAGGTCCGGTTTAATATGTCGATCGTAATTGAACTGGTGGAGACTTAGGATTTTTTTCGAAGAGTATCGCCCCAAGAACACGAAGAACAACAAGATGAGTAACTCTTGGGGATCCTGTTCTGGTCCAAAACAAGACAGATATAATATCGGCCTTTTAAACGAATGCGATCATGTTGTCTGCGACAGTTCAATCTCTCGTCGCAAATAAGTCCCAAATTCTTGTTTTATTTCTTTACTATTTAGGCGGCTGGTGGCACGGGGTTTTACAACGAAAAAGTCCTGTTTGTTTCCCAGATTTCCAAATATGTTCCAAAGAATAGAGAAAGATATACGCCCTTTAGAGAGACATAATGATCGAGGACCGAGGTTTTAGTTTAACGTTTGTCGTTTATAAAATATGGTTGACGTATTCACAGTGGAATGTTAAACATACATTATGCAAGAAATAAATCTGCCTATTGCAGGTCTTTCTTTAGAGAGACATAATGATCGAGGACCGAGGTTTTAGTTTAACGTTTGTCGTTTATAAAATCAGGTTGACGTATTCACAGTGGTATGTTAAACATACATTATGCAAGAGCTAAATCTGTTTATTGCAGGTCTTTCTTTAGGCCTGAAATGTTATCTTAATTATTAATTAGACATTAATTAACTTAATCAGACCATAATCAACTCTAGATGTCATCGCTAGCCTGCGATATTTACTGGATTAGGATCCGATTTGCTGCTCAACTTTCATTCATGATTTAATCATGAAATGGATAATCGAGACTACGTTTTTAACCGTACAAACTTTAGTAATGATGATCGGGGCTAGGTCGAAAATTCAATCGCTAAATTCTCGGTTCAGGGTGGATCAATTTGACTGAATATTTCAGCAAATTCTCTTTACATTATCTAGTTTTTAACTACAATAGCGATAACTGCCAGCTCTTTATCTAAACTCCCATAATGTATCATTAATATTTGTATTATTTAATATGTACACGATTGGGAATGTTTTCGCGATTTAACCGGCAGTTATAAGTTTTCCAAATAATGGTAATGAATTTAGAATCTCAACTGTCGTGGAAATGGGGTTTAACGTCCTACTGTTCCGCTCCGAACTGGGCTAATGAAGACGGGCATACGCCATTCAGTGTGCTATGAGGGAAATTTTGCCCGGACAGCGGCACTACAGCCTACTCTTATATCGAATTCCAACTGTCAAGGGATCTTTTACGTGCACGCCAATGTGTGCACGAGACCACGCTTTTTTGTCCCATCCGAACGACTAGACAGCTGTCCTTGTCAGGCACTCCGTCCTGCATTAGTGACAAGGGGGAGCCACGCCGGAAAATCTAGATGAACTTTCTCAGCCAATGCAGGGATCGAACACCCGACTTCCAGGCTAGCGAGCCAGCGCCTTACCCATTTAGCCACCGTTACCCCGTCTTTCACTCAATTACTACTCAAAACAGGGTTAAGTTTTTTGTTGGCATGGTTGCGTTCATACCATCAGCTACTCAGTGGGCATTTGCTGTGAACATCGAAACAAGCCAATGTCACCTCGAAATCATACACTGATATTGTTGTGTTGATTAAGCAATCCCCTGATGAACTAAAATTCTGTTACGACAATTTTTCTGATTTTTAAAGGCATCCACTACAAGATTACGAAATTAGTAGTGGATATTGAAATGCAAATACCTATGCAGGTTGTGAAATGATAAATAGTCATGGACACTTGACATGCTTTGAGAGCATGTTCACAGATGAAGAACTTATCGCCCCAACAGAACCACTGAGATGCACGTGCGACATGCAATAGTGCCATACACGTGGGAGGGTTCGTTGTCAAATTTGACACTTCAAGGAATGGTTGATGAAAACTGCCGCGTGTTGGTTATCCTATCCATGTTTGCTTTCTTATCGGTTCTTGCGTAAGATTTACTGTTTAGCGTATCTTTGCTTTAGTGTGTTACGTTAAATTTGCAATGAGACGTCTTCAACATGATGAACGTCTACGTGCTATTGGCATGCTTCAAATGAGTTCTACACAGCGAGCAGTAGCGAACAGGCTTAATGTGTCACAGCCTGTGATCAGCAGACTGTGGAACCGGTACCAACAAACACACAATGTTGATGATAGACCTCGTTCAGATCGTCCTAGGGCCACTGCACAAGCCCAGGATCGATACATTCGTACACAGGTCCTGCTAAATCGAGAACAAACGGCCAATCAGCTTTTTGTAAACTTGTACCAAGGTACAGGAATTCGAGTTACACCCCAAACGATTAGAAATCGGCTACATGCAGCCCATTTGCATTTGCGACGACCATGTGTTGTGCCTCCATTAGCTCGCCAGAACATGGCAAACAGGCGTCAATGGTGTAGGCAGCGTAGAAATTGGGGTAATCGTCGAAGGGCGCGTGTAATGTTCTCAGATGAATCCATATTTACTCTGGATTTCACCGTTAGGGGTGCTCGCGTTTGGAGGCGTGTAAATGAGCGTTATGCTAACGTTAACGTCAGACAGCATGCGTGGGTCTGTTATGGTGTGGGGAGGAATCACCATGACTGGCAGAACGGACTTGCATATTGTTCAAGGAAGGGTCACTGGTGTGTACTACCGTGACCACATCCTGGCACCGATAGTTCTGCCCTTTGCTCAACGTGCAGGTCGACGTTTCATCTTTCAAGATGATAATGCCCGTGCTCACCGCGCTCGTGTGAATGACTACCTCCAGCGTCATCATATTGTCCATATGCCTTGGCCAGCCATGAGCCCTGACCTTTCCCCTATAGAGCATGTCTGGGACATGATCGGGAGACGTGTTCATCAACGTCAACGTCAACCGACAATACTGCAAGAATTGGCCGTGGCACTGCAAGAGGAGTCGGTCAGATTGCCCCATATCGTGATTGGACGGTTGATTAGGAGCATGTAACGACGAATTGTTGAATGTCTGCGGATTGGTGGAGCAATTACTCATTATTAAGACAAAAATCATAAACGTCCATTTTCACTTTTGACCGTGTATCTCTTTGCGAGTGAAATCGGGCAGTCAGATAAGCCGCCCATATGAACTGTTTATGTTCATGTGTAGGCAATTGGTCGGTTATTAACATACACTGGTTTTCCTCTAATAAAAACAGCAGTGTAATTCCGCAATTTTGTATTATTTCTGAATATCTCCTACTTTTTTGAAGAGTATATAACGAAATGGCGACTGATTGACATCGTAATTAATTAAAGGTACATTATGGGAGATTAGATAAAGAGCTGACAGTTCTCACTATAATAGTTAAAAACTACATAATGCAAAGGGCTTTTGAAGAAAATTTCAGTCAAATTGATCCACTCTGAACCGAGAATTTAGCGACTGAATCTATTTTCGGCCTAGCCTCGATCATCATTACTAAAGTCGGTATTATAAAAAAACATAGCCTCGATTATTCATTATTTGATTTAATCATGAAAGAGCACTGAGCAGCAGATCGGATAATAATCTAGTAGATATTGCAGGCTATAGCGATGACATCGAAAGTTGATTATGGTGTGGATTGTTAATGAATGTGCAATTGTCATATTTAGCGCTGTTTAAATTGGATATTAGTATTACTGAAATGGGCTGACAATTTGTCCCGTTCTTCTTGTATTTCGTATGCATCCACTGTTAAGTGAAAATAACCTTAATGTTTCAAACCTTGAAAAAAAAGCACCGTTTAAGGGCATATAATATGGCTCTATCTTTTGGAATCATGAAATAGACAAAAATGGTTCCAAAAGCAAATAAATGAAATGAAATGAATTGGGGTTTAACGTCCTACTGTTGTTCTAAAAGCACAATGTAATATGAATATATGTAATGATTTATGTTCAATTTTTGAAAACAGTATTTTAATTTGTAATCAGTTATTTTCGGTGAAATATGTGAACAGTTTAAATTGAACACCAGTCGTTTACGTCTGCTTAGTGCATTCTACACGTTTTTTAAATTATTATTTTGGCGTTTGGGAATCAGCCGTTACTAATTACTACCACATTGTGTTGTAGGATATGTTTTTATTTGTTCATTACAAAATGACACCCGAAACCATAGGGTACACGACTCGTCCACTGATTATGAAATGTTATTTGTGTCTTAAATATTGGATATTGTGATCCTATAGTTTTACGGCAAGATAACAACATCAATGTTGATTGAAATTGATCAATATTGAATTCTACTTAGTGTTTTTAATTTCGAATAGTATGGAAAATGTTGCGTTAGAGGCTTAGCTCCTTTAAACACAACTTTGTAAAGGCAACAGCTGAAACGAGAGAGTTTGTAAATATACATTTTATGTGTATTAATACAAAAATTCAATAAAGTACTGTAAGCAAGAAATCGACCGTCTTTTTAAAAGCGAATTATTATCAAGACATGTATTGTCGATCAACACATTGACACTACAAACAAGGCGTAAGGAAGCAGTATGTGAAAACTTGACATGAGTCTTGAAGATTCGTTATCATCACTGGAAGTCAGGATTAAAACTAAATTGTTATGCCACGTGTGTGGGGTTTGTGATCTGAATTGGTTTAAGAAAGCTGAAGTTGTGATAAATTAGTGGTTAACCGTGAACATGTATATGTGATAATGTTAAATATGTGCTAGAACACTTGATACGACTTCTCTTTTGAGGGGCTCACAAATTTTCGGATTTTGTCAAGTATCAATACTGTTGTTTTATTTTTGAAGAATTCGTTCATTAAACTTTTCTTTTGTTGACTAGTGGTTAAAACATTTCGTGGCGTTTAAAATTTATAAAAGAGAACACCCAAAAATAGTTATTCAATAAAACGTATATACGTATATATTTATTCGTAACATTTACGTAGGAGATAGTAATGTTATAATAAGTTTATGACATTAAATAATTTTAATCAACCATATGATGCATATCATTAACCACTAAACTTACATAGCAACAGATGAAATTAGGAAGATTGGGTGTATGCATTAAAATTCAGTATTAAGTATAAATATTAAATATAACGATATAAATTAAGATAAAATATTTAGTATAAAGATTAAGTATTAAGTTAAAGTATAAAGACTAAGCATAAAGGTTAAGTATCAAGATTAAATATAAAGATTAAGTATTAAGATTAAGCATAAAGATTAAATATAAAGCTTAAATATGAAGAATAAGCATAAAGACTAACTATTAAGATTAAGTGCATAGATTAAGTATTAAGATTAAGTTTAACATTGAGTATTAAGGCTAAGATTAAGTATAAAGATTAAGTATACAGATTAAGTATAAAATCAATTATAAAGATTAAGTATAAGCCTAAATGTTAAATATACGTATAAATATTAAGTTTAAGTGTAAAAATTAGGGTAAAAGATTTGTTTAATAGTATTAACTGGTTATATTAAACATGATCAGACTTTATTCCTATATGTTCTATTTGAACATCACAGTTTATATTGTAACATTTTATTTTATGTACTTGTTGATGTCTAACTACAAAGCAAGTTCAGGTATACACTTTAAAAAGCAATTACGTGACACCAATCAAATACCTGTATCAAAATTAAGATCAAGCACACCCTTGCAAAATGAAGTGGAACGTGATTTGAAAGAAAGGAAAAGCAACGAGTTCTGGGTACAGAATAATATTAAAGGCTATTCAAAGATTAGAAGCAATGACAGTAGTACCGATGATTTGATGTATTCTATGCCCGTTTTAAAAGAAAGGGATTTAAACGGGCCAGGTAATACTAATTTGAACACTGTTTGATCAATGGCAAAAATTATGCTATTTTAACTTTATAACGAAATGCAATGAAAGAAAATGGTTTTAACACCTAGTGTTTTGCACAGAATGGGCTAATGAAGACTTGCATACGCCATGCAGTGTGATATGAGGGGAATTTTACCCGGGCAGCGGCACTACGGCCTACTCTTATATCGAATTCCAACTGCCAGGGATCTTTTACGTGCACGCCAATGTTTTTTATCCCATCCGAACGACTAGACAGCTGTACTTGCCAGGCCCTCTGTCCTGCACCTCTGACAAGGGGAAATCACGCCTGAAAATCCCGATAAACTTTCTCGGTCAATACCTTGAGCGCGAACCCGCTACCGCCAGACTAGCGAGCCAGCGTCCTACTCACTTAGCCACCGTGGCTCCTTATGCTTTATAACTGAACAAAGATAAAAAAGGATTTAATATCTTACCGCTCTGCCCCAAACAGGTGAATGAAGACGGGCATACATGGCACAGTGTGCTACACGTGTTTTGAATACCAAGTGTCAATCGTCCTTTTACGTGCCCAACAACTCGTCCATGGGATCTCGGTTTTCGATGCCATTTGAACGACTAAAAGCTGCTCTTTGCTCTACTGACAGGGCTCACCGGAGAATCCCTATGAACTCTCTCGGCCTTCACTTTGATCGAACTCTTGACCTCATGCTTAGTGAGCTACCGCATTACTCACTGAGCCACCGTAACAAAAGCAGGCAAGTTCAATATCAATGTAGGGTCTATAAGTGTTTGTAGAAGATTTGTACCAAAATCGCAAAACGGAATAAACTATATATAATCAATTGTTCAGCATCATTTCTACACACTTTAAGACACTAAATGAAATAATCAGACGTTAAACTCCTTTCCGTGTCATTTGAGTTTATATAAATTGACATCATAAATATGGATTATAAAATGAACTTCTTTTAAGGTGAAATGGGAAAAGCTGTTATAATAGATGAGAAGAATTTAACTACAGAACAGAAGATTTTATGGAAAGCCGGTTGGGACAAAAACGCTTTCAATCAGTATGTTAGTGATATGATATCAATTGAAAGATCTTTACCAGATTATAGATGGCCAGAGTAAGTGTAATCCTTGTTCAATTGAACTCTCAGTCAGAAAGGTTCGACTGACAGTCTAAAGTTTAAAGGGTCGAGAATGTTAAGTGTTATACTTCATGGTAGTAGATAGTCCAGATTATCTTTTCATATGTATTTTAATTTGAATTTTGCATATCTATCCATATACAGATTATCTAACCTACATTTGACTACTTAATCTTACGCAATTAAAATAGTAATCATAATATTTAGCCCCTAATATTCAATTCAATTAATGGGGAGGGGGGCTGCTTAACATAGCATTCAATTTTCCATTTACTAAATTGAAACAACCAATTTCCAACCTGTACTAGAAGGGACTATGATATAACAAAATGTTACCTCAAACTTGTACTAGGAACTATGGCTACAATCTCCACTCTCTAACCTGTACCAACAAGACCTATGACTATAATCTCCTACCTGTAAGTAAAACACATGGCTAGAATCTCTAACCTGTACCAATAGGACCCATACCTACAATCTCCAATCTGTGCCAAGGCTGCGGAAGGGGGGGGTCGTTTACTACAATCTATAAATTGTACCATCTCCAACCTATACCAATAGGACCCATGACTACAATCTGCAGCCACAACCAGTAGGACCCATGACTACAATCTCCAACCTGTATCAATAGGACCCATAACTACAATCTGCAGCCACAACCAGTAGGACCCATGACTACAATCTCCAACCTGTATCAATAGGACCCATGACTACAATCTGCAGCCACAACCAGTAGAACCATGACTACAATCTCCAACCTGTATCAATAGGACCCATGACTAGAATCTGCAGCCACAACCAGTAGGACCCATGACTACCCCCTCCAACCTGCATCAATAGGACATATGACTACACTCTCAGATCTGTACCCGCATGGTCTATACCTAGGCATTAAATCTTTCATTCTCTTTATTTTATTACGATATACAGATGTAAGAATATAACGTATGAGAATCTACCGCAAGTGAGTGTTGTTATACCGTTTGTTAATGAAAGTTGGTCAACATTATTGAGAACAGTCCACAGCGTATTAAACAGATCACCACCACATCTGTTAAAGGAGGTTGTTCTTTGTGATGATGCTTCTTCTATGGGTAATAGAATCGACTTTATATCTCTTTTTTTGAACAAAGGATGATTGATGAAAACGAAGTATTAGCTCTAACCCCTTAAATTCAAATACAAACTATGTTTTCATCGTCTATAACATGTACTTGCACAATCTGTCTGCATCCGGCTTGTGAGACTGAACACAGTTATTCCTCTAACCTATATAAACCAATGAAAGTCCAGATAGTTTAGGAGTTCGACAAACAGATACATGCTTCTATTTTTAATTCCATGTAATTTTGTGATCTGATTTCTGTTTAGAACACCTTGGCAAGCCTTTAGATGATTACGTGGCGTTATTTGAAAAAGTATCCGTTCAAAGATTAAAGAACCGAGGAGGATTGATAAATGCCCGAATCCTGGGCTTCAACCATTCTACGGCACCCGTGGTTATTTTTCTCGATTCGCATTGTGAAGTTACAACAGGTAGGTTGCTACAAATCGAAGCATCAATAAGACATATATTATGTTCTACAGCCCAAGAACCTAGCTTTGAGCTATTTCGCCGTGTTAAGGGGAAGAAACTCGTCAATCACAAGTCTACGGCTGCAGACCACCAATTACTTTCTCCGTTCTCGGTATACCGTCAACCTAGTTCAACCCAGTGAAAATGTTACAAGAGACAAGAAGTAATATTTATTAAACTCGATAGGAAAGCAGTTAGTGGTATGCTTCCATATCAAAATTGATGGAAAACAGATTTCCGAGCCTGTAAACGGGTTACAATTTCACACTAACTTGAATTAGTTTATACGTTCAACAAAAATTAATTAATGATCATATCGTCTCTAGGTTGGCTTGAGCCTTTACTAGACCGAATCAAGAATGATGATAAAACGATTGTCACAGCTGTCATGGATATTATTAATGCTGAGGACTTTCATGTCCAAACTTACAATATAGAGCAAACTATACCAGTTGGAGATCTGGAATGGACCATGTTTTTCAAATGGAAACAAGTTCCTGTGGGCAAACCCAGGATAAAGCCAGTGAAGTAAGTATTTTAAAACCATACATATAATTTCTTATTAAAGGTCCTACACCTCTATTCTTTGGAATCTAAAATGGACGAAAATGGGTCGAAAAATACATAATATGCACTCATTTCTTAAAATTTGTATTGTAATTTCTAAGTAGTTATGTTCGGCGAAATACGTCCAAATTGAAATGAAATGGGGTTTAACGTCCTACTGTTCTGCTCCTATACTGGGCTAATGAAGACGGGCATACGCCATACAATGTGCTATGAGGAAAATTTTGCCCGGGCAGCGGCACTATCGCCTACTCTTATATCGAATTCCAACTGCCAGGGGATCTTTAACGTGCATTCCAATATATACACGGGACCTCGTTTTTTCGTCTCATCCGAAGGACTAGACGACAGCTGTCCTTGTCAGGCCCTCCGTTCTGCACCACTGACAAGGGGAAACCACGTCGGAAAATCTGGATGAACTTTCTCGGCAAATGCACGTCCAAATTGAATGACATTCATTTGCTTCAGGTTAGTTCAGTCTACATGGGGAGTACAGTTTAACGTTTCACTTCCACTCTCACGTTTTGTCTTGGTTACAATAAAATGTTTATTGTGTCTTAAATATTGCATATCGGTAGGTCATATTTTCATGGTAAGATACCAACATAAATATTGATTGAAATAGACAAATAGCAAACACTAAGTAGTGTTAATAGTGTCAAAGATTATGGATAGTGTTGACTTAGAGATTTAGCTACCTTAAGCTGCGTCAAATCGATCCTATTTGAGTGCGTTGGCCAGCACCTTTTCGGACAATAATAAGACACAGTGTACGAAGAGTACATTCCGTTTTTGTACGCATTATACAAGCTGATTTGTTACTGAATTATAAACTGTACATACATCTTCTGGTACACACATCTTAGCAGTATTAAGTAAAACAATCTCACTTGTGGGAGATGTAAGCTGCAAAGAATTGTAGGGGATACTCGATTGTCAGTCCAGAACGTTCCGAATTGACAGAATAGCAATCGAGTGACGCGGAATTCAGTCCTGTCACAGTTCTGTCAGTCCCGACAACGGAGGTGGTGTGAGTAGAATCGTGATGTAATTAAACCTAATGAATATGTTTCAGCTGTAATGGTTGGTTGAGATATTTTCTCATGCAGTCAGCGCATGCGTTCTAGCCCAAAATCCCATTTTTACTCGATTGTCACTATTTTTGGGTTTGACAGAATTCAATTCAGGAACGTTCAATCGAGCATCCCCAGAATGTCAAAAATTGAAACCCCGAGTGTCCCAAAAAGCAGAATCTCGGCGTGAATATCTTTTACAAATCTGTAGTGTAATTTACGTACCTACTCAAAGTCCTATTATTGCCTTAAATTTCAAATTGAATTAATTTCTCCGAAGATGTTCCTCATGCTTTTAATACTGACTCATCTATAAAAATGTTTCTACCCCATTTACAGAAGCGCCACCCTAATTGGTTGTTTTATCGGTGTCAGTAGAACATTTTTTAAATATATCGGGATGTTTGATCCAGGTTTCTTCATTTGGGGTGGTGAAAACTTAGAGCTATCGTTTAAGGTAAGTGTACAGACTTTCTGACTAATCTTTGGGGCACAAATTACAGGATTTGACCCCGTTATATAATTGGCGGTCCATTAAGTATGGGTGGTGAGGAAGGGGAAAGGTCAGCTCGGACGTCGTCGCAGTTACATGTAATAATTCAAGTGCCTGTTTTGATCCATACGCGTTAAAACCAACCCGAAATATTTACTAATAACAGATCAAATTTGGATGGTCTAAGAGATCAAGCCGCGGACAAAATAAATGTGCCATCTTTTAGTTTGTTCCACCGTCCAAAATTTTCTGAATCCGCGACTCTCTGGGGTCTCGTATACACCATCGGCAGCATTTTGAAGACCCCCTTGGCAGTTGGAAACGGCACACTGCGCCATTCCTTACTTCTTAACCCAGTTGGTGCAGAAAAGTAAAACATTAAACCATATTCCATAAATTGTTCTCATTAAAGGCTTGGATGTGTGGTGGTTGTGTAGAGACGGTGCCATGTTCTCATGTAGGGCATGTTTACAAAAGTCGACTACCATATGCATGGAATGGACAACAAGAGGGCTCGGTGATAGAAAGGAACCTTCTGAGACTAGCAGAGGTGTGGTTAGATGATTATAAAGAATTCTTTTATCAGATTGTAGGGCCTGAACGAGTTGTAAGTGACTTATTAAGTATATTTATAAATATCTGTGTATCATTTTCATTTTTCGGAAAAAAGCAGATTCTCCACGTCTTTATTAGTGCTATTATGTACTGAAATTAATTATTTAGCATTCGATTGAGAAAACAAACTTAAAATATCAACTACCAGATAACCTCTTGGCTTGGATTCAATATCCTTAAAAGAGACCAAGCAATTGAATTGCGATATACGAGTCATAATGAGTAGAATGATATGTTTATCTTTATAACGTATCCATTAAAATGCACAGAAGTTGAACACATAAATATGAGTTTATCGCATAGTGTAGCCTTCAGCAGACTTTGATGGCAAGATCTTTACTTAAAGATCTGTGGCAAACATGCGTTTTAATTGAAGATATTTGAAGACACAAGAAGATAATTTATAATTATTCAACATCCGATACCACCTCTCATTTACATCGAAAGATCACGCGACTTAAATGTTTTGTAAGGTTTTTATACGTTTCATTCTTTTTAGTCTGAGATCAACGCTGGAAATTTCAGTGACCGGGTGGCTTTAAGACAAAATCTTGGATGTAAAAACTTTTCTTGGTACCTACAACAAGCTATCCCGGACGTATTCCTTCCGTCGGAATGCCATGGATGGGGACCTGTAAGTTATTTTAAACTGATAAACATTGCTACTCATGCCGGATTTTTCAAAACAAACTCTAACATGTGTATGGTGGTGTGCTTGGGTGCTTGTGGGTGTGTGGGTGTGTGTGTGTGTAGGGGGGGGGACTAGTCAATTAGATTTCGACCCCACATTTGCACGTGAAGGAGCAGGGTCGCCTACCTAACCTCCTGGGGGTTTTCCTGGGTCCTCCGGATTTCCTCCCACTGCTTAAGACCCCATACGCGCATGCGAATTATTGAAATAAAAATGTACAATGTGTTTTTCCCAAAAATAACTTAGTTTGTGTCGAGTAGGCGTTTAACGTCAACTCTCTTTCTCCTGTACAGGGAAAGGAATTGGTGGTCTGTATCCTACTGATTATACAGAGTTGTCCCCCTTGTACATTACACCCATCCCGTTTGTTTATTTCGCCCAACTCTTTCTCGCACTTCTGTGAAACCAAACGTTTTCTGCAAATAATTCACCTCACACCCAAACCGGTTCATGTATTTCAATCAACATGTTTGTATTTTTCGGTTAATTTACAACGTTCCTTAGATATACCGGACACATTAGATATTCTTAGATATGTTGTCAGATAATAGGAATGTCAACCATAACAATACAAGTTCCAGTCAAGATTGTGCGTATGGTCATTCGTTTTTAGCGATTTCTCTTTGTAAAAGCCCATTAACGTGTTCACTAAAACCCAGCAACAGTAATTTTATTAAAATCAATCATTAAATGGATAATTTGAAGTTTAATAGAATTGAAATACTTTTATATGATTCTAACATAAAGTAGTCGGATGTAATTCGACGTACCATTGATTTATATGAAATCACATATGTCCATGTTTCAACAGATAAAGAATCAACTGTATCCTGATGTTTGCATAGATCAAAATGATAATGAAAGTAACCTGAAAGGCAGTATTATCAGAGGCGCGCGATGTGGCAAGATGATGTACCAACAGGTGAGAAAATGAAATGAAATGGGGTTTAACGTCCTACTGTTCTGCTCCTATGCTGGGCTAATGAAGACGGGCATACGCCATACAGTGTGCTATGAGGGAAATTTTGCCCGGGCAGCGGCACTATCGCCTACTCTTATATCGAAATCCAACTGCCATCCGAAAGACTAGACAGCTGTCCTTGTCAGACCCTCCGTCCTGCATCACTGACAAGGGGAACCACGCCGGAAAATCTGGATGAACTTTCTCGGCCAATTCAGAGATCGAACACCCGACCTCCAGGCTAGCGAGCCAGCGTCTTACCCACTTAGCCACGTGATCCCCGGTAACAGGTGAGAAAACATATATATCTAAACAAAATGAGTTGCTCTATATAACTCAGGAGATAGGTATCGATCTTTAAGTTACCCCACCCCACCCCCACACCCAAAGGAAATACCAACAAAATAACAAACCAGTCCCAACAATAACGTTTAAGCTACGACCCCCCACCCCAAGGAAATACCAACAAAATAACAAACCAGTCCCAACAAAAACGTTTATTTCAGTGTACATACGTATAGAAACCAATACGAAGATATGAATGTACAAGTATGTAACTTTTATGTGAATGTACTTGAATTTCTAAAAATAACATTTTATAGGAAAAACCAACAATCTTATGTTTTATGTAGTTCCTTATGTGTATTTATGTTCCTCATGAACGACATAGTACTTTTCCAACTTTCCTGCTTGATTATTTGAATTCTATTGATGCAGTTAACGTTACTTGAATAAATTTTTATAAAATTTGGTTCATAGAGGAAAATAGTATAATAGGATTTTTTTTATACGCCCACATTTTCATGTGGACGTATATTGTCGTCGCCCCTGTCAGTCCGTCGGTCCGAAGTCCACAATTGCTTGTGGACGCTCTAGAGGCTAAAGTTAATATCCGATTTTAAATTTATACACAGTATTTAAGGTCATGAGATGAAGTAGCCTATTCATTTTCAGCTATTTCCGATAATAACTGCCAGAGTTATGGCCCTTGATCACTTCAAAAAATCTTGTGGACGCTCTAGAGGCTAAAGTTAATATCCGATTGACTTCGTCATGAGACGAAGAAGCCTATTTGATTTTCAGCGATTTCCGATAATTACTGCCAGAGTTATGGCCCTTGATCACTTTGAAAAATTTTAAAATCTTGTGGAGGCTCTAGAGGCAAAAGTTCATATCCGATAATTACTGTCAGACTTTAAATTTATACGCAGTGTTTGAGGTCACGAGACGAAGAATCCTATTGAAGTTTAACGATTTCCGATAATTACTGCCAAAGTTATGGCCCTTGTTAACTATGAAACATCTTGTGAAGCTCTAGAGGCTTATTTTATCATCCAATTGACTTCAGATTGATACACAGAGTTTAAGTTCTTGAAACGAACAAGTATATTGATTTTCAATGAATTTTGATAACTTGAACAGATAAATCCATGATATTAAATATTTCGTATACTAAACGTTAGCATGGGGCAGAAATTTATAAAAACCAAACAAATTCTAATGATTTTCCGATAATTACATGATGAGTTGTTACTCTTAATTCGATTTTAGTGTATTATAAATGTTTCATTACTGAAAAAATAAAAATATGCTGCCCTTGTTGACTGCCCGGACGATTTAGCTGCTGTGGGCGTATGTTTCGTTGTCTGGCAACCTATCTTTTAGCTTGTGGCCCCTCTGGAGGTCACAATTATTATCCGATTTTAAAATCCATTTGATTATATCACCGTAATGAAGTTTGACTTTGAATTTCGTGAAAATCGGACCAAAACTGCCGGACAAAATGACCACCGCTTGTACGCGAATAGTGCAAAAATATGGTATATCAAGGTTCTGGACCCTGTAGAGGTCACAATTTTGATCCGATTTTGATAAAACTTGCAATCCTAAGATCATGGTTGCTCTCCATATTCGCGCATATCGGAGCGTAACTTTCTGAATTATGTCCCCTGATTGTACGAAAAATCACGTTGCCGATATTGGCGCATATCGGATGGTAACTTCCTGAATTATGGCCCTTGATTGTTCGAAAAATCGCTTTTTGTTTAGCTTGTTCTCTATCCATCTCTTGCAAAATGTGGGCGTATTCAACCTGGCAGCCGTTGTTGTTTTTATCCAAAAGTATATGTGTAAAGATAATGATAATTAAAAGAGCCTAATAATTCCATAATGAATTTAATATGTAAGCTTTTACAGAGCGTTAACCTCTGAGTCTGTCGTTGATGTCTTAGCCCGTGCATTATTCCTCGGTTATCTGAAACACTAGAGTTGGTTTATTTATAGTTTTGCGTTTCATCTCTCTATGGGGTGACTCGGTGGCACGTGTTCTATCCCCTTGTTGGCGGAGAAAGTTCCCGGTTCCACATTGTCAGTTGTGCCGGACTGAGGGCCTGGCAAGTGGCAACGTATAGTCGTACGGCTTGAACGAAAAAAGAGGTCCCGTGTACAAATTGGTATGCACGTAAAAGCACATTTGACAGTTTGAATTCGATATAAGAGCAGGCTAAGCCGTAGTGTCTCTGTCCGAGCAAAACTTTAATCATAGCGCACTGTATGGCATATGCCCGTCTTGTCTATATTGTCACGGTAAGCTAAGATCATCAATATTGGTTGAAATAGACACATATTATTTTCATATTCGTCGAAGGTTGTAAATAATATAGAGTCAAACTCTATGTTTGGCTACTCTCACTTAAATTCATCATTCATCTATTTTAGCAATGGTATCACTGTCACAATCAAACGATTCGTCGAAAGCGGGCATGTTGGGTACCTACAGATAAAAATACTAGCATTGCTTTTGATTTTTGTAATGTGGAAAAACAAGATTTCCAATGGGAGTATAGAAATGTGAGTACATTGTTCTTCCATATACAGTTATACCTCGTTAACTCATGCCGTATTAAAATCAACCCATATATTTAGTGATTTTATTTAATTAGAAATGGATTATGTAAGAATTCGATATAGGTCTGGTTGTTCTTGTTATAATAATTCAAAAATATATAATGGAAAATTTTGGGTTTTGTTATGAGTGTTTGGAGTTATGACAAAATGTAGCGGTAATTGTTTAAAATCGACCTCGAATGTTGTACCTGAACAAGCTGCGAACTGAACCCCCCAAAATGGCATCGAAGATAACCGCGGACCCCCACCTTCAGATATAGTAATACGGACATTTATTTTAGAGGAGCATTCACTCAACAAAGAGTGAAATTAAATTAAATATTTTTGAAATTTGAAATTATCATTGTTAACAGTGCTATATATTTAATCACGCTATTTTACCGAGATTTAGCCTAATAGTTTGGATGCAGCTATGGAGGGGGATCACGGTGGCTAAGTGGGTAAGGGGCTGGCTCGCTAGCCTGGAGGTCGGGTGTTCGATCCCTGCATTGGCCGAGAAAGTTCATCCAGATTTTCCGGCGTGGTTCCCCCTTGTCAGTGATGCAGGACGGAGGGCCTGACAAGGACAGCTGTCTAGTCATTCGGATGAGACGAAAAACCGAGGTCCCGTGTACACATTGGCGTGCACGTAAAAGATCCCTTGACAGTTGGAATTCGATATAAGAGTAGGCCGTAGTACCGCTGTCCGGGCAAATTACCCTCATAGCACACTGTATGGCATATGCCCGTCTTCATTAGCCCAGTTCGGAGCAAAACAGTAGGACGTTAAACCCCATTTCATTTCATTTCATTTCGCAGCTATGGAGGGTGTGGCGCCAGGCAGGGTAAGCTTACTCTTCCGGACACCTGTTACCACTGTTTGTCGTGTATTTTGTACACGGTGAACAGACCATATGCTGATTACACTATTTTGCCTTATTACACTATTTTGCCTATACCGTTTTTTTTAGGACTTCGAATTTTGTCTAATGGTTTGGATTGTTCGTACTTTGTTTTATTTTATTTTTATTACATATATTTAAAATGTCTTCCTTTCTCATATGTCTCAGTACTAGTAGACATGAAATCACCAAACGTAATTTTCCAACAAATAGTATTTATTTAGCATTGTTTGTTTGTTGTTTTGTCCAGGATAACACCATATACAGTGTCTATGTCCAGAAATGTGTTGAAATGCAGCCAGACCAGAAAACTATAAAATTAGCACGATGTAGTGATACAACTAACCAGAAATGGACTTGGAAGCGAGGACCCCCTCCCGGACCTTTACCTGACTGGAAGAAAAAACATCAACTATCCAACTGAAAATTTAATTTGTCATCTTCATCTTTGTTCTTAAAAACAGTTTTAAAAAAAGGGGATTATTTCTTTTAATTCACGCACATTCCCAAATTATTCTTCGTTAGCTACAACAGCGCACTACGACTGTTCAATTCACTCAGATTAAATTGAAATCAACAAAGACCCGCAGCGTCCGTGGTTGATACCGTCTGATTAAATTACAGATCTGATTACGTTCTAGATAGAATTAAATGGGTTTTTTTTACCTCTCGTAAATAAACGACATCTTGTATTTGAGGAATGAATCCAGGGCAAGCCCATTCACTGATTTACTTACCTGACAACCTATAGGACATTGTCATTCAAACAATAATCTTGAATCTGATTCGCTGTAAATCAAACCCGGTAATCTATTATAACATCTGAAGAGTAAACGGTTAGTTTATGAATTGGTGTATATCAGAATGAAGAAGTAAACGTGGTATATATTTATCTACCGTAAACATGGGTCATCAACTATGTCCGTCTTTCTGCTGAGCAGTTCATACCAATGATTAAAATATAGCCAAGCACTGATAATACATTTATCTTATTTTAACAAATATTATAACATCTAAAGAGTAGACGGTTTATGAATTGGTGTATATCAGAATGAAGAAATAAAATTGTTATATATTTATCTACTGTAAACGTGGGATAGTGTCCGTCGTTCTGAAATGAAATGAAATGAAATGGGGTTTAACGTTCGACTTTTCTGCTCCGACGGCCAGGAGTCATTCAGTGTGCTATGAGGAAAATTTTGCCCGGACAGCGTCACTACGGCCTGGTCTTATATCGAATTCCAACTACCATGGGATCTTTTACGTGCATGCCAATGTGTACACTGGACCTCGGCATTTCCTCCAATCCGAACGACTAAACGTTGTCCCTTTCAGGCCCTTTGTCATGCACCACTGACAACGCCGGAAAGTCCCGATGAACTTTCGCTGCCAATTCAGGGATCGAGCACGCGACATCCAGGTTAGCCAGCATCCTACCCGCTGAGTCACAGCGGCTGCTGCCCATCGTTCTGCTGAGCAGTTCAAAACATTGACAAACCAAGCACTGATAATACCAACACAATACTAAATGAATTTTACTACCACAACTCTGTAAAAGGAGGAAGACCACCATTAAATTTCACCATCTCGGTTGCATTTAATGGCCGCCATATTGAAAATAAGTATAGCCTACTATTTGTTATAGGGGTCTCATCTGTTTTAAAGTTTTCATGCACAAATAGAAAATAAACATTTTCAATATCATCAGATATAAAAATTCTCGGAGTATACTTATTGTTTTCGACTAAAATGTAGGAACTAAAATGACGGTCAACCAGCTTCGTATTCTCAAGCGGAGTTAATTGTAGACTGAAAGCGTAAGTTTCGTATGTCATTTAGGTTATAGAGATTACGATCTCCAGAATGTTAAAAATGTTATAGGTCAAGAAATGCCATAGATTTAACGTTAAATGCAATGGGAATAATAGTCCAAATTGAGAACTGGAGTTATCCCCCCTATTCTTTTATTTGGAGAGCTGAATCCGAATAATTTTGTTCGAAAATTAAGCGGAGGTCTCCCTGATTTACTACAGTTAGTTTCATTTTTGGCTTACTGCGGAACACACAAAATCAGTTATTTGTTTGTGTGGTGAAAATGGCTTTGAGTAAAGAAAGTTTACATGGGCAGGCGTCACCTAAATACGAACACACGCCTTGTGCTAACATGGTCAAGGGGTTACACAGAATAGCGACGCCCTCGCGAACGACAGGCCCAGGTCATAATGACGGTATTTTTACATTACGATAAACATGACAATTATTCGTCACGTACTATAAGACAACACCCAGACTAACCTAGAAATGTGATGAGGTTGTGCTTTGTATTAAGCCACCCACCATAGCAACTATAATATGAAAAATCCTCTCTTGCGAGATACATTGCCGGTGCGTTCAAAATCCAAAATAGTCTTGATTATTTTGTCTCAAACATTTCTGATTAAAAAAATAATAGATATTTACACGAACTGAAAACTTGATGAAACATACTTTGCGTTACCAAAGTAAGAGTCAAAGAAATGGACACGGTTGCTATCTCAAAGAACTCGATATTGTCATGTATCGGACAGAAATTTCATTGATTATGGCCGCTCATAGTACGAAAAATCGTGTTTTTAGCTTGTGATCACAATTTGTACCCGAATTCGATGCAACTTAAAAGTATGTTTATAAACCAAGTATCTCATTTCCTTTCGATATTGGCGGGCCCTAACTCCTGGATTATGTGGAATTAAATTATGAAAATTTGAATCGCACAATACCAACTTTGCTGAATTACTTTCGGAGTTTGGCTCTTAACACAGTGCTTAAGTTCATGGCATGTAGAATCCTATTGTTTTTCTACGATTCCAGATAATTATTGCCAGGTGTATAACACTTTGAAATTTCTTGTGTACGCTCAAGAGACCAAAGCTATCATTCGGATGACTTTAAATTCACTGTAAGAGGGAATGAGACGGCTATTGATTTTCAACGGTTTTCAATAACTGCTGCCATCTTCTTTGATTGGCATTTAGTAATTGAACATATTAACACAAGGTACTTTGGCATCGAATTCTAACTGTTAAGGGTTATTTTACGTGCAACCCGAACGACTATAAATTGTCCCTTGCCAGGCTCCCCGACCTTCACCACTGACAAGGGGGCGGGGCGGGGCGGGGGGAGAGGTGCACACACCGAGAAATTCCGACTAACTTTCTCGGTCAACAGAGGGATAGAACATGGGACCCCTTTACGAGCCAAAGTTACATTCACTGAACCATCAAATAACCACATATGATGATAATTAATGTGATATGAGTTCGAATATTAGTAGATTATTGTGGATTTTGGTAGATTTGTGTGGGCTTGTATAAATTGTGCTAGTCAGTGAACATGCGTACGAATGAAACTTTTAAGGCGAGAAAGCAAGAAAGTGAGAAGTCGAGGGAGAGAAGTCTAGAAATCGGGGTTGAGGGGTTAAGAACATGCGTTCTAATGTAATTTCTGAGGCCAGAAAGCCTATCTGATTAATACACAGATCCTAGTTCTGTACTACACTAGGATCTGGAAGAGTTGTTATATAACAGCTGTTCTGGGTGGCGTGGCGGATTAGCCAATGAAACCATCTGTTATGGTGACTTCTTGGCGTGCCATGCACGAAACTGTGGGTAAACCACTAGAAACGTCAACGCTGGTTGATTAATCAATGTCTGACGTCATAGATCAAAAGCCGCTCGAAACGAAACGAAATATAGATCTGTATTTTAATCAAATTGCGAAAAATCGAAGGTGGGGGTGCGAGGACGACGGGGTGAGAACACGAGGATTTTAAAGGCAAGAAAGCGAACAGTCGAGGAAAAGAAAACGAGAAATCGAGGTACTCGTAATAATGATATGGCTATATTATATTATGATGTGTGGTGGTATTTGCACGCTTGGCTTGGCTTAACTAAAGTAAATTGGTAACGATATGTCGAATTATTTTATGATTTACGTGACCTATATCTTTAATCTGGGGGATATCTGTATTAACAATAACATGTTGTGTGGTGTTTGTTTTGTAGACGTTGATGTGTCACATTCCGGAGATATTTCGCCATATGATAGGGTGGTCCATGGCCAGAATAAAATTAGGACAAATTGACAATATTTAGGGCTTATTTGAAAATATAATAAGACCTACCATAAAAAAAACCATCATTCATCGAAGTCTCATCACCTTGTTTGATTTTTGAGTATATAACAATTTGGACATATTTAGAATCGTTCAAAAAATGACCGGCCTCCATGGCCAATGGTGTTAACTCTTAGTAACAAAACAAGTTAACGTCCTTGGTCACATTAAAATTTTAACCTTCGAAAATGAAATGAATGGGATTTAACGTCCTACTGTTCTGCTCCAACTGGGCTAATGAAGACGGGCATATAATATACCATACAGTGTAATATGAGGGAAATTTTGCCCGAACAGCGGCACTACGGCCTGCTCTCATATCGAATTCCAACTGTCAATGGATCTTTTATGTGCGCACCAATGTGTACACGGGACCTCGTTTGGTCGTCCCATCCGAACGACTAGACAGCTGTCCTGGTCAGGCCATCCATCCTGCATCACTGACAAGGGGGAACCACGCCGGAATTTAACCTTTGTCCTGAAACGAATACGTATTTATCTCATCCGGGAATCATGGTTTATTTATAGCTACGGAATACACTCTGTGGGGCGGTTGTATTTAATATATGTACGCATGTGCAGAGCTTAGTTTTTAAAAATATGGCATGTAATAAAATTTTAATACACGTTTAGCTGAATATGAAAAATTCGAGAAACCTAGTTAGGTATATTCATAGGGGTACGGGCTCGATCAGTAAGTTTTAATGCCAGGGTGGGGTGGAGGTACGAGGCAGAAGTGGATTACTCGGGAAAAAAAATACCGTCGCAAAATCCCGATAATTTTCAAAAATTAGACGGCGTCAAACGCATTTATTCCTTCATTGAAAGTGCCCCCATAAAACCTTTCGTTCGTTCGTTTCTTGGGTTTTACGTCCACTTCCACCTAAGGTGATATCGTAGACAATCCATAAAACCTTATCTATAGCCTTATTTATATGGTTTTGCAACCGAAATCCCAATCGATGCCAACCTGAACACCGATCAACCAATCAATTAGACTGTTGCATTAAAAATCGTCAATGTGATCATGTGAGCTAGACGATCAAGGTGAATTTAAATGAATCTCTTAATTGTAATCAGAATGCACGTGTGCGTGACTAGTAATTGTCATTAGAGATGCAACAGGCAGACAAGTAGGTGCAGTGTTTATTAGCACAAATATTTGAGGCTGTGGACCACCCTAGAAAAGGCGGGGGAGGCATACAGTGTGTGGTATGTGACCTCTATGACACATACCTTATCTTATCTCTAACACTAATTACAAATTATTCATCTTCATGAAAATATCTCAAATATTTGTCATTTCGGGACTACCATACGATTTTATTTCTTTAATTTGCTTTAATCTCTAAAAGCCCATGGGTTATACCATTCGTCAACCCACCCTTCTGGTCTACAGACACATTGAAAACTCGTATATGTTTTTAAGTCTTGGACCTATTTGGTTTTAGACATCCGAATGTTCGTTTTTGTATAGGTTATAACATAGTGTGGCTTGTTGTAGGTGTTGTATTTGTATGGATTATTCTGTGCTCAGTCCAGAAGTATACCATTAACAAAAATTAAAAATTTATTCATATACTATGTATAATAAACAACTTCATTATGCGCAGGTGTTTTTTTTACTTCATATACGCTTAAATGCCAAAGAAGACTATAATGAGTTGTTATATTTTACTCTCGTACATTAACACTGGGTGTGTTCACGGAATAAGCAATTAATCATGTGCCCGTGTGGTTTTTAAGGGCCAATTAATCTATGTATAATATGTGGGACAATCATATTTCTTTCAAACTGACTTCTCAACAAAACTGATTCGGTCCCCGGTTTGGCTCGGTACATCTTTAAAATGATATACTCAGTATACTCATCATTAATATTATTAATATGCTCGGTAATAAACAAATGTATAGTCGTTCCGATGGGACGAAAAACCGAGGTCCCCTGTACACCCTGACAGTTGGAATTCCAAATAAGAGGAGGTCTTATCGCCGCTGCCCAGGCAAAATTTCACTCATAGCACACTGCATGTCGTCTGTATTTTAACACTGTGACATTGGTATTGTAGAGCAATTGAACCGTGAACATTGAAAGAATAATGGCAACGTTATTCTTCCATAGCACATTGCACGATGCATACCTCTTCATTACCCCATTGCATTTCATATATTTCTTGCTCAACCACTCAAAGGAAATTAAAATACTCGAATATCCCGCTGCTTCGCTGTGTGTAAAAAGATTTACGTTTGAACTCAAGTGACCTGAAGTTGTTTTACACAAACAACATACAAATAAGCTTCATGACATTTTCTGTGTCATACAGAGTTAGCGTTTTTACTTGTATTGTTGCTGTTAACGTTCTTTCCCGCAGGCTATGTTTTGATAGACATTTTCGTATACAAAAACAAGATGACAACATCACGGGTGCACGTATATATACATAACCCAA